ATGAAAACTTCTTAAAAAAATAATAAATAACATAAGGTAGTTGACTTCACATTCTTGCACAAACTTCACTTAGCTGGGGATGAGGAGTTTCTGGAAACGGAACTGCACAGAAACCGCGGAGTCTCCATGGAGATCCAGTCCTGGCATCCTACATTGGCAATGGCTCAGCTCCTCCAGCTAGTTCACATTCACTGAATACAGGACTGTCTCTGGCTGTAATTCTTCTAGGTGCTAATCACACAGTTGTTAGTCAAACATCCAAGCTACGGTGTTTATAAAGCCTTTCGTAAAAATGACAGAACTCCCAATCATCCGTAACTGCATGCTGATCTTTACCTAGTTTCCTTACACATTTCCCTCCAATGGTCTCTAAACTTATGTCCAGCTCTCCCACTGCTTCTTTCTAACAAACCCACCCTGTCCCATGCATACATTTTCTCAACATCTGCTATCAAAAACACCTCATACCCTAACAGGACACAACAGAGTGACAGTCATGCACTCGACTCAGGATAACAGTTGAGCACTAACTAGCTGAGAACTTACAATAGCACTAGGAGCACACAAAAATTTAACAATAGCCTAGCTGACTCTGGAGACACACTGAAGAGCTCCACTTAGACCCTTCCCCCACCAACACTTTCCAATTGTACCAGCATCTCCTGCAGGGCTTTCTCCTGACTATAGGGCCCATTCTGGCCATCCTCACAGCACTTCAAAATTATCACTCAGCGCCCACTCTAAGTTACTGGTTAAAAAATATCCCAGTCCTCTCAATCCTTGTATGTTCTATACTGCTGTCAGATTTCCCCTATGGGATCAAACTCTAGTTAGTATAAAAGTAACCTGCCTAATATAATGAGCATTCTTTCCCACTCATAACCCTCTCACTTCCCCACTCCCTCTGGAGAGTTTTCTGGGATCATATCCCGAAGAAATTACTGTGCTGGAATCCTTGACTCAGTCTGTGCTGGGGAAGCCAAAACACGACATTGACCACTTTTATACATGCCTATTTATTCTTAGTAAAATTATTTTGAAGACAATATAATTACAACAAAGTAGCACTGCATAGGGTTATGTTAAATGGGGTGTGTAATAGGTACATAAAAAATTGACATTATTTAAAAATTGCTTTTGTGGCATAACCAACAAAACTTATTAATCCTATTCATAAATCTCTATAATTAGAATAACATTTCTTTTCTGGCCATTTTATTTATTTATTTATTTTAAAGATTTTATTTATTTATTTGACAGAGATCACAGGTAGGCAGAGAGGCAGGCAGAGAGAGAGGAGGAAGCAGGCTCCCTGCTGAGCAGAGAGCCCAATGCGGGGCTCGATCCCAAGACCCTGAGATCATGACCTGAGCCGAAGGCAGAGGCTTAACCCTCTGAGCCACCCAGGTGCCCCTTTTCTGGCCATTTTAAAATAAAGTCCTTAATCCAAAGGTTTGATTTGAAGAAAAAAAAATGTTTATTGCTTAGCCTTCAAAAGCATCCCACATACTTTTGGAAATTCCCAAAAGTATCATATTACAAAAAAAAAAAAAAAGACTCCTCTTCGTGCACTGCTGGTAGGAATGTAAATTGGTGCAGCCACTGTGGAAAATAGTATGGAGGTTCCTGAAAAAATTAAAAATAGAACTACTGTATGATCCAGCAATTCCACTACTGGGTATTTACCCAAAGAAAATGAAAATACTCATTTGAAAAGATAGGTGCACCCCTATGTTTACTGCAACATTATTTATAATACCAAAGATAATGGAAGCAACCTGAGTACCCATCATCCATAGACAAAGAAATAAGGAAGATGTGGTGTGTGTATGTGTGTGTAAAGATATATACATATATATACAATGGAATATTACACAGCCAGAAAAAAAGAAATGAGGCCCCTGCCATTTGGTAAAACATGGATGGACCCAGAGAGTAATATGCTAAGTGAAAAAAGTCAGACTGAGAAAGGCAGAAAAATTTAAAAAGAAAAAGAAAAAAACTTCTTTGCTGTTGTGCCTAGAAATGGCTGTCTTCTGAATCCACACATTTAACCCCCCAAAATTTATTTGATCAAAATAATCTCATAGGCTCTAATAGATAAAGATGCTTTAAGGTTTACGATCCTTTTCCTGCTCTCCTGAGTAAGAGAGATTACATTAAAGTACTTCTTCATTTTGGAGCAGAGCTGTTATTTAATTTAGTTTAAGTACCACATTTGATGCTTGTTACTGGCGGAATGGGAGAGCACTGTGAGATAGGTCAAGGGGGTAGAAGAGGGTGTTTCCCCTCACACTGGAGTGGAGTCTATCCCCAATCCCAGGAGTCACCAACCCCTGACAACTGCCACCACAGTAGGGACAATGATGCTGTCAGCAGGAAGAAAGCAGACTGGTGTTACAGTGATCAAGAAAAGTTCCTGCTGGTCCTGGGGGGAGGGGGAAGAAAGGGGGAAGTGAGCTACAGGGCGTTCAAGCCTCTTTTCTCATTCATTCAAAGACATCCATCTTTGATCCTTGTGACACTCACTGATAAGCCCCTCTATATGGCAGATTAAGAGATACATCACCCCATTCTACGGTCTCCTATCACTTCCCAGAGATCTGGGTCAAGTGTGAAATCTCTGCTGTAGCCCAGAAGCAGCCACTTCTATGGTGCAGCCACCATAAAATGCACTCACACATATCCTGAGTGAATTTGCACTTTGAGCCCTTTCAGTCACAATAGTTTAAAATTAGAGTATATTAATAGTGAAGTTAAAATCCCAAACTCAATTGTATTTGCTAGTTAAATCCTAAGCTTTTATTTGACAGTTTACTGTCAAAAGGAACTAAATGCATGTAAAGATGATTCAGTTTCATGTATAAGGTGCTTCCAACAAGCTACCTAATGACAGTATTACAATAAAAAAATTCCAAGAGCAGACTGAGAACGGCTCCCCAAAATATAAAACCATAACGTTAATTCTGTTATACATTCATGTCAAAGTAATTCTTCCTCAGCACCTATAAAAGAATGTGAAAATTAGAATGTTTTTCAGTTCTCCGTTCAAGTCACACAAACCAAATGTAGTTCTTAAAATACTTGGCAATCTTCGTCCTTAGTGCCTTCAATTCAAAAAGCAATACTCAGCTTAAAAGGTGCTCTGTAATTAATTCCTACCAATAAATAACGTATTTTTAAAAAACAAACAAGGTATCTCATTTTAAATTACATTGTCTGGGATGCTCTTGAGATTCAAATTAGAGATACAGAATTAATTGGAATGGAGTCCTTTTACTTCGGCTGTGTTTTAGTAGAAATAAGGTTCTTAGTAGAAATAAGGTTTTCAGTATATTAACAATATGTATATTAACAATATACATTTAGATGTTTACAGTATTCATAGATACAGTGCACTCACATATGGATATGACTAGTTATATACCACAACTAAGCTTTTTCCTCTTGTCTCTTTTAAGGTTTAAAACACACACCTACGCCCACACCCCCCACACTCCCAAGAGAAAGACACCTTAAGACAGATCGTTTTCACCACACACTGGAAAAAATAATTCACTTTGTGTAGGAACTATGGAGTGACATTTGCATCACAAAATTCTCTTAAACTGACACTGTGTAAATGAAGAGAGCAAAACTACATAATGACTGATTCCTTCATTACCTGTCGTCACTGAGATGCTGACTTAATAGTCTATGCCTTCTCATTCTTTCAGGGATGTTGCGATCAATCTTCATATCTCCTCCCTTCCTCAATAACACCTGGCCCAATGTCTTGCTCAAGGTAGTTGCTCAATAAATATTTGTTAAATGGATATACTAATTAATTTCATAGCACAATATGTACAACTATAAATGAGTATAAGTGAGCAAAATGCAGAGAATGATTCAGCTGCGATGGTCCTAAAATGGAGGGCTTTGCAGAATTCAGAATCTGTAATGATATTATAGCATTATGGATTGGGTATAAAAAGATCAATGTCATAAACTGCAGTGCCAAGAAAGTAATTTTACTTTCAAATTAGAACTTGAAGGAACAACAAATACCATCGACATTGGGAACAAGATGTTTTTCTTTTGTGAAAAGTACACTGGCAACCAAATTTTAATAGTATGAAAGTGAACTACCTGAGAAATGAAGTCAATATGTGATATTACACAATTAGAATAAATTTACCCAGCCTAGCTTCCTCAGCTTTTCAGACTCCAAGACAATGGGACCAAATCTTTCAACTGGTGAATAAAGTCCTCTAAGGGACTCTCTAGAAGGTAAATAATACTAAGAATTAAAGGAGCTGAATAAAAGACCAAGAGAATAAAGGCAGAAATTTTTTAAAATTAGAATTATTATATATATGGAGCCATATAGATTTGTTCTTTTGATAACTGGCTTTATCTGAAGCACTTGAAAATGAAATGGAATCAGAATACTTTTAATTTTTTAATAGAATTATGAAAGAGCTTTCCCATTCCCAAAGTTTAAGTTGGCATTTCATGAGACTTCCCTCTTGCCAAAAACAATAAATAAGATATAAGCCTGTCCATTAAACAAAGAAATGCCTAGAAAGAACTAAGTGACCTCGCAAAAGAAAAAACAAATCAACAATAGCTGTTGAGTTATAACAACTTATTCTAAGCATCTTTTCAACAAGTCTACAAAAGTAAGATTCAATTATAATAGAAAAAGTTCAGTATTACCAAAAATATCCACCATCAAAAACACAGCATTAATAATTAACCCAGTAAAATATCAAACAACTGTCAGCATTACCTATACACAGAAACCAACAAAACTTTTCATATAAAGACAAATTTCAACTTAAGTCATAAACATACAAAGGATACTCTACAGTTATAGAAAACTGAATCTGCTACCCAAGACTAAAATTTAAGACAAGCAAACAGGAAGGGACGGAACCAAGAATGACAACTAACAGATTAAATCTACAATTTTAAAATCATCAGAAAGCACTGCAAAGTAGAGTCAATGATCTGAATACCTTTGTTGGAGCAGTATCCATGAAAAGCTATAGAAAAAAGAGAAAGAGAGAGAAGGGCGTAAAACTTTCATATAAACTAGAGAATCCAGATGAGACTCACACATTCCAGTTAAATATCCTTGCATTTAGGAAATTAAAATCAATTTTATTTTAGAAAATGTTTTCTAATGTAATCCCTGTCTAATATGGTAGTCAGCACTTCTAGAAATTAAGTGACTAACCTCAGAAGCTAAAAATCAAATAATATAAAGAAATGATACTTGAAGATTGGTTAGCTCCTGCCAAACAGTTTCCATGTCTCTGTATCAATCTGACCACTTTTTTGTCCACAACCCCTGTGCCTACTTACCTCACTCATAAAGGTGCCTGTCCTAAGTGAGGAATGGCTTTGAAATGTTTGAAACCAGTCTATCCATGTTTTTCATTCAACTGACAATTATATAAAAGTAATTTTAATGTGAAAGACCTTAAAGGACTAAGATTAAAAATACTCTGTAGCTAGTATGGAAAGGAAAATAAAATACTGGCTACTGAAATTATTTTGTTCTCAGTGTAATTAAAGGAAAAGATTTAAACAAGTAATTTCTTATTTATGTCTAACTCCCACCCTTTCCAAATACATTGGGTTCCATGCCACAAATTAAGCATGGAAAGGCCCACTGAAAGGCAATTTTGTTTTACTCAAAATAAGAACCAAAAAAATGTCCTATTGCCTATAATACACACCACCAGTATCAAATCTTTTGGATCTGTGAAATATTCTTTTAAAACAATATTCTAGGGCATAGTCATGCTTTAAACTAACCACTCTGAAGAGTTTATATTCTACCAGTAAAGAATTTAATATATTTGTTTTATTTTCCATAACCTTCTACCTGAGGCTCTCCCATGAAGCCTTTTCCTCTTTACAAAGACACACCCCCCAATAAGCTTAGCTACAATTTAATATAAGGCTATATACAAACTCTTCAGTGTAGTAAAAATACATAACAGCCTCAAAAAGGAAGAAACAGCTCGTTTATTCTTCCTCTTACACGGAATTTTTAAAGAGAAACGGCAACGTTTTTCCCAAGGCAGAAAAGATTGTCAAGGCAGTGCTAAATCTCTTCCAGAGCTTTGACAAATACTGAACCAGCCTCATCTGGAGTGCTTCTGCCCTCAAGATCGCTCTTAGAAGCACAGAAAGGAACACACTTGCATTTTCGCTATGCTGATTCACTGAACCTTTTGTGCACATACACATATGGGGGAAAGGTTTGCTTCAGAGCTGGAAACCTTTCCAACCATGGTGACTGTCTCAGTCTGCCCTTGGTATCCTGGGCCACTGCACACACACTTTTAATACTAGAGACCGTTTATGGAGCCCCGGCTGTCAAAGAGGCACCAAGCCAAGCACTTCACATACATCTGCTTCAGTTCTTCCAACAACACTGTGCACTTTTAACTTTCAAACAGATGAGAGAAAAAAGGTTCCAAAAGGTTATTAATAATCCAGCTGTGTTCAGTCTCCCCAAAGGCCGGTACGAGCTGTCCCTGGTATCCTCATGCCTAACCACTAGAATTAACTGTTCAAATACCCTGTGAAAAGTTTTACATCCCCAAGGATTTCAACCACGATATGGCTCAGCCCTCTCTAAGCTAGTTATTTCTCAGACCCTCCAAGTTTAATCTAGTTTACCCACAGACCTTCCAAGTTTCATTTTCTCAATCAGCACAGAAAACAAACTCCATATGACCAGGGATTATCTCCAGCAGTGACCTATTTTTATCACTTGAAGGGGAAAAAGAAAAAAGCCTGGCAGAGTAGGTATTCATTACAATTTGGTTGAATGAATGAACTATCTAGAAAATCTGGGCCGTGATGACAGCCAATTTGGACAACAGCATGAATGGAGGACTTGAATTGTGTATGTAGTTTGGTCATATTTCCAAACTGACTAGGTAATTATCTAAATTCAACTTTACAGATACAACTTATGGAGTATCTACTAGGACATCACCTATTAGTCTACGTAAACACAGGACTAAACAGTAGATGGCCAATGAATCATTTATGTACAACTCTGTTTAAATAGCTTTATCTGTTGGAAAGAATAAAAGACAGGTAGGACAGCTTTGCCAAAAAGAAGGTGCATCAATTTGGCCAAAGTTACTTATCTCTTGTGTTAAGTTCTGAGGGAAAAGTGGATGGTTGTGGTATTTCAAGGTGATCTTTTGAAATTCTTTCAAATAACAAAATACCTGTCCTGTCAATTCAGAGATCCCCAAAGACTATCTCACAAACTTCCAGGAAATGTCACTGGTACACACGCAATGCCATCCTTCCATTCTAAAAATCCACAGTGTGGTTTCATTCCAGCTCTCCCCCACAGGAATTGGGGAAATTCATTCCCATTATTCAAAGGCGCAGAGAAATTACAGTGTGCACTGACTGGCAAGTCCTAGCATTAGTACCATCTTTGTCACCCAGTTATTCTACTTTCCCTTCATCTCTGTGCCCAACCATTCTGTCCAGTGAAACAGTAACAACACAACTATGTTAAGTTTTTGTGTATGGTGCCCCAGTGCCTAAGGATTTAGACCTAAAACAGGTAACTAACATGACACCATCGGAAGTAAAAGATGTTGAAGAATTAAGCACGTAAATCAAGAAAATAAATTAGAACTAAGTCATAAGAAGGAAAATGAAAACTACATACTTTGATGAGCTTCAATTATTAAAACTCTAAATAATCTACTACGTGATAGTCTTGAAGAAAAATGAATTTCCTCCTTGAATCAGTGCCCCAGGTAACTGTATTCCTTTTTTATCAAGAAAAATATACTTTGATCACAGCAAACAATGAATATACAGCACTATTTTACATAGTAAGCATTCAATTAAATACTTCTTGAATTAATGAATAAATTTTCTTTGTCTAATAATGTCTAGTGTGAATTTTTTAAATCCTAAAAAGAAAATAAGGCAGGGTAGAGGCAGTGCTATATCTGTTTAATTTGATGAGTATCTGATATACCATTAATTGGTGCTTTTAAATGACAATCCTGACCTCAACTAGAGCTTCTCCAGTAAAATTATTTACAGTTATAATAGACAGTCTTAAAGAGATAGACTATCATGACAGACACTGAAAAAAAATTTTTTAACCACTAAAAATCTTTTTTAGCCAATAGTTAATACCAATTACTTTCACTAGTCATTAAGTTTTTAAAAAATAAAGAAGTAAAATAAATTTAAGCTCTGTACCAACTATTAAATCCATCAATTATCAAGCATAGGGATAAAACAGTAATTTCATAATCTTTAATATTTTTTCCTATATTAATGAAAAGGAAAGGAGAATGTACACTGTCATTTATGGCCCTATTTAAGGAATAAGAATAAAAAGATTCAGACTTCTGACTGCAAAGAGTTTCATAGGAAAATCAAAAATCGATGTCCAACATTTTTCCTTTGGTACTTCTCCCATCTTGGGAGAGATCTAATTCCAAAGCCAATCAGAAACCCTCTTCTCTTCCCTTCTTCCCCAGTTTCCCTGATCGATCACAACTCATTCTGATTATAACTTTACTCAGTATCTCTTTCACATTAACATATACAGGTTACAGTTTTATTATCTTTTTTAAACATAATACACTGGAACTGCAGCAGGAATACAGCTTATATAAAAATCCACGTCATTGCACAGAGCAAGACCTGAGTGAATGGCCAATGAGAGGTGGATGGGGTCCACATGGGAATAAACATCGGTCAGCTCCTAGTAAACGGCCAGTGTGGCCAGATGGTTGGCTGCACACTAAAAAAATTGTGACCACATAACAAAGGACTACAGGGAAAAAAACAGACATTAAGCATCCTATATTAAATATATATACTGGGGTGCCTGGATGGCTCAGTCAGTTAAGAGACTGACTCTTGATTGCAGCTGGGGTGGAGCCCCAATGGGTTCTGTGCTAGCTGGGGAATCTGCTTGACATCTCTCTCCCTCTCCCCACCCTTGCAGGCACTAGAACTCTCTCTTAATCTCTCTCTCTAAAATCAATCAATCAATCTTTAAAAAAAAAAAAAAAAGTATACACCACCATGAAATACACTGCAATCTATGGGAATGGAATTTGACTTAACAGATGAAATAGTTGTAATAAAAACAATAAGGGACTAAAGTAAAAAAAAAATTAATGTATTTAAGGACAGAGTGGGCAAAAGTGAGAATGTGCATTAATTTTTACAAACCAACCCCAGTGGGAAATAATCTTCACAATCCTGTAACAAGTGTTGGTGAGGATGTGGAATAAATTTCTGGTGGAAAATGCTGCTGGTACAGCAGCTTTGGAAAAGTCTGGCAGGTTAAACATGGCATTACCATGCAACCCTGCAATTCTACTCCTAGGTGTATATATGCAAAGTAACCGAAAACAACTCCATGCAAAAACTGGTACATCAATGTTCACAGCAGCATTATTCATAATCACCAAAAAAAAGTCCACCAATGAATGGATAAACCTATATATATTTTGGCCTGGCCCCTTCACTTCTACTTTACTCTGTAGATACAATCATACATGTATGTAGATATATACAATGATGCTACTGCTGCCATTTGCAGGGACTGAAAACCCCCCACATAACCATTGATTTATTGCCATTATATAAATCACGATTCAGCCACACAGTGTAATACCATATAGCCATTAAAAGGGGACTCTCCCTGCTGGTATGGCACAATTTATAGAAACTTAGGTAGCACAGAAAAAAAGAAAGCAAATATTACTGAAGAGACAAACTATATTTATATATCTCCTTTCCTAATGCTCAACTTGAAAAATATTAAGAAGAAAAACTGAGAGAAAAACAAGTTGGGGAGGACGGGACCAGGTTGCCACTTGCTGAGGATGAGGTTTCAAGCCTTCCCTCCAAGCCCAATAAAAAGTAATCTGTACCCTGTATCCAAAGTTACTTTTTTTTTTTCACCCCATTACCCCCAAGTTAATTTGTCTTATTTATCACCTTGAAACAGACTGATTCAGTATCATTTTTCTAAGAAGCCAAGACTGTCACTAAGGGATACCTGGAAAAATTCCAGGCAAAGTTGACTCCCTTACTTCCCCTCTTACACTGAGACGGGACTCTTCCATTATCTGGGCTTGTAATCTAAATAACAGCAGCATTTTTTATTTATATAATGCACCAACTCCTTCCTCAATATTCGGCTTAGCAATATTTTCTGAAATTAAATCACTCTTGTGATTTGGGAAAGCCCTCCATGAAGGAGGAAGAAGATCTAGCCCAATGACTTGACTTTACAAAACTTCCTTTTTGATGGAGACAACCTAAATGCTTATCCATAGGGAGCTGTCTAAACAAATTATAAAACACATGTATTTAGGGTGCTTCTGGCTGGCTCAGTCTGTAGAGCATGCGATTCTTGATCTCGGAGTTGTGAGTTCCAGCCTCAGGCTGACTACAGAAATTACTTAAAAATAAACAAATACAATGAAATCTTAAACATATTTTAAATCCACATGTACTTTATAGTTTTATTTTCTAAAACCCTATCTACTTTGGCCTAGCAGTAATTAAAACCGAATGAAGCAGTTTTGCATGTACTAACCGTTCTAAGAAGAGAATACCGCGAAGAATAAACAATGTGCAAAACAACATGTAAGCTACCATGCTTGCGTATGATAGAGAATACACAAGTTTATACACATACAGTCTCCTTCTGGAAGGATTCATAGGAAACTTTATTTGCCTCTAGGGAAAGCCACCAAGTGGCTGCGACCAACTTTTCACTATAAACTCCTGGCACCTTTGTAACGAGCCGTGTGTTACTTGCCCTAAAAATAAATGCTATGAAGCAAAATGCCTTTTAAGAGGTATAAAGAACAAAGGCCTAAGGAATGTGTAGTGTCGTCACCCACCCGAGCCCTCCTTGGCGAGGCTATCTCCCTGGGACTGCACAGCCTGGTGGGACCCGGTCTCGGCCTCAGAGAGCGCGCTACGGGGGACCCGGGCAGGTGCCAGCCGGCCATCCACGTAAGGCAACCTCTTCCTCCCTCCACAGTTCCCAGGGGTCCATCCACCCCGCGCCAAGAAACCTTCCCCTCCACTCGCAGCTTTATTAATATGGACCTTAAGTTTCCAGCCGTCCATCAACTTAAAAAACAATTTCTACTAAATTTGTGTTTGGACACTTTCTAAATAAATATTCTGACCACTCCAGCTCACCTGGCTTATCAGTGGCTAAGGGCGGGAAACTGTTTATAAAAATCCCACACGCCAAGGCTCACACATGCCGCGCCACAGAAAGCGGACTGCGAATTCCCTCAAAACCGTAGACAGCGATGCTGTTTACAAAGCCTCTCCACATACATCATCACGTTCATGCCTTCACAGGCTTTAGTGTCAATCCTGGCAAATCCAACGGCTGCCAAATTGGATTTGTTAGTCTTCAAGAACTGTAGAGGCAGCACTAATTAATAAAACCGCTATCAAAGGGCTGCTTTTCTACCTGCTCCTGCTGGCTGCGATTTCTCAGAAGTGACACCTCTGGGCATTCGGCACGCAGAGCGGCTCCCAGGCCACCAGTGTGACACATTCCTTGTGGAAGCGAGGGAGAGGAGAGGAGGAAGCGAGGGAGAGGACCCTGCTAGGTCCGGGTGTGCTCGCGCGCGCGCTGGGGAGGGGGCGAGCGCGGAGCGGACCCGCGCGAGGACGTGGGAACGCCGCACGAGGCGGGACTCCATTTCCTCCACAGCGGCGGAGGTTGGGCGAACGCCCAGCCGACAGGGCAGCTGCTCCTGTGCCGGCGCGTTCTGCGCGCTCGGGGAATCCTCCGGGGTGATTCAGAGGTTCAGACTCCTGTGAGGGCCAACCGAGCTTGCAGCCCCGGGAGGCGCTATCAACCCGAACTCAGAAAAAGCCCGAGGCGCCGAGCTGACGCCAGCAATTTAGAAAGGTGACCCTCGGCCCATCTTGCCGGGGTAGGAGAGCGCAAAACGGATAAAGTTACAGCTCGCTAACACCCGCAGATGGAAAGTCGGGGTAGGGGGGCGCTCCCAGGGAGTCGGGCTGCTGAAGGGGGTGTGGCCGGTGGGGCTTTTTTGGGAGTGGGGGTGGAGAGGTGTCAGCCGGGCCCAGGGAGGCGCCTCCACTGCCTGGGAGGGTGGGCTAGGACCCCCGCGCGGGGTGCCGCGTGTCTGCGACGCCCGCCACGCGCTCGCTCGCCGGCTCACCGGTGATGTCTAGGTACAGGTCGTCCTGGTGGTCCAGGCGGTGCAGTTCCTGCGACGTGGAGCTGCGGCTCTTCTTCACTCCGGGCGAGGACGCCGAGCAGCGCCGCGAGCAGGGGGGCGCGGCGGCCCAGTTCGGCCGCCGCTCGCTCTTCCGCTTCATGGAGGCGGCCGCGGCCCGTCAAGGGGCCACGACCATGGCCCCGCGCGTCCGCTCGCCCGCCGAGGCCCCCGCCGGCCCCGCGCGCGGGCGCTCGGGGCGGCGGGCGCGGAACGGCGCTGCGGGGACGGCGGGCGCCGGTCGAGCCCGGCGGGAGGCGGCGGCGCAGGAGTCGGAGGAGGGGCCGGGCCCACCGCGCCTGCCCCGCTCCCTCCTGCGGCCGCCAAGGGACCCGCGCCGCAGCCCTGGCTACAGCGCCTCCTGCCGCCGCCGGCGCCCCCCAGCCCGCCCCCAGGTGCCCGCAGCCCGCTGGGGCGGCCGAGGCGACGGTGCTGCCGCGGGTGGCTGGGGCTGCCCGGGGTAACCGCGCGCGCCCACCGCAGCCGCGGACGCTGCTGCCGAAGCGCCGAAGCACAGTCGGCCGCGGCTCCCCGGGACCCCAGGAGGGCTGTTCCGTGGAGCTTCATTCACAAAAAAGGGCCCACAACCCTCCTCGGGGCCCGCAGAATGGGGCTTTTCATTGGTCAGTGATGCGTGACGTCACGGAGACGGGGCCTTTCTACAGGCAGGTACCCGGTGACGCCATAAAGAAAAGTCTGAGTGGTTCCGCCAATCAAATATAAAAATGTGCTCGCGACCCTCCGCCAGCCCCCAACTTTTGTTTTTTTCTGTGTTCCTCCGGTGCCGAGACCCCAGGTCCCAACTTCCTTTAGTGAGTCGCCGAAGCTGTACACAGCCCCACCCTAGTAACTTGACTCCAGTTCTTTGGCATGTGTATTTTTAAAAGTATTTCAGGGTTTTCCTTGTAATCGCGCCAAGTGAGAAGGATTCTTGCCACGGCTGCTGGCTTGGAAAAGAGTATGGACTGATTAAATTGTCCGCCGCTCTGTAGACTTAAGGTAAAGGTGATACCACAACCGACCCAGGATCCAAATCACCTACACTCTACCGACCTATGGTATGCCCAGCATTCAAAAAGACTAAGTCAGGGCTTCTTAGGGCGTCGATAAACCTACCATGGAAACATGATATACCGTACGGTTTGTCTCGTAGTTCCTCTTAGAATCCAGTACCCGCATTTAACTCAGTAATTTTATACACCAGTTGCTGAGTTTTTCTTACCTAAGGTGTCTACAGATCCAATTACTGAAGTATTGAAGCAAGTGGCGAATTTAATTCTTGAACTTTCATCCTGCAAACTGGAGTCATATCTTTTTCTTCTGGGTTAAAATAATGGCTGATATTTCTGGAACTTAACCAAAACTCTCATTTTGGAGGGACTTTAAATAAATTTGCATGGTAGCATCTAAGAAGGTGAATAGAGTGGAGGGCAATCTTTAGATTTCATAGCCCCGAACTTTACGTCTTGCAAGCTCTTCCTTAATTTTCACCAGCATTTTAACGTTTTATCCTGCAGGTCCGCAAGCACTGCCAGCCTCTAGAAAAGAAAGATGAGTTTGAGTCAGTCCCCCTAGAAGCGTCTCAGAAATGCAAATTTTGATGGAGTACTTCTCGGGTGGGGGGCTATTTGACTTCTATTGTTGAAGGCCTTTACCCTTTAGCGCTGCTAATTAAGGAGGAAAGGGGGCTGGGGAAAGAAGGTTCTGCATCACTGACTCAGCTGAACAGTCTGGAACTAGAGATCAGCCACTTAGACCAGAAGCTTAGTAATCATGTTCTTTCATCCCCTGTTGCCCCTAAGGAAATCAGTGAAGGCCTTAAATTTAAAATGGTTTACCTGTTTGTCTTCAGGGGCAGCGATGAAGGGAAAGAATTGGGAGCTTGTGGAATGCTATGCAAATGAGTCGAAATTCAACAGAAACTTATCCTCCCAGGTCCTCTGCTTTGACCGGAAATAGGAGGCCTTTCTGGCCTTAGGGGCTCAGCAGTAGAAAGGCCACCTTTTCCCATACTATCTGGAATTTTGCAGAAGTCTTTTGTTTTGTTTTGTTTACTGAGGTATAATTGATATATAATGTTATATTAAGTTCAGGTGTAAACATAATGCTTTGATTTGTATATATTGCAAAATGATCACCACAGCAAGTCTAGTTAACATTGAGTAGGTCTTGTTTTGAATAGATAATCCATGAGAATCTTCTTGATCCCTAGCATGAAAGAAATTCAAATACCCCATGATATTCTATTTATTTGAGGGTGACTTATCTAACTGTCAAACTAAGATTGAAGTGCCAGTAAGTTCACTTACAGCAGTTCATTTTCTCCTTCAAACTTAAGTGTTAAGGCTGGAAATTCTAACAAAATGTCTATGATTCCAATAAAAAAGAGAAAATATAATAAATACAAATAATTATGCTGTTTAAGTATTTTCATGTTTTAGAAACAGAATTTTATGGTTTTGTTACTATAACATCATTAAGAGAGAAAATATATAATTACAGTTGGTAATTTTGCCAGAATGTCTTACATTCTTGGGACTAGGAAGTCCATATGCAAGTACACACATCAAAATTTTAGACCCTATTTGTATTTTGTTTTTAGGTCATGTTTAGGTAGTGGTAGAAAAGTGGTATTTCTTACTGATATTTGTGTGTTCACTTGAGCAATTTGAGTCTTCCTGATGTTCAATAAGACAATCTCTAGGCTCAGAAATTGGCCATAGGAAATGTAGTTTAGTTCGCTTGGTTGATTGGTTAGTTCGTTGTTCACTGTTTGACCATGGATCATAAAATTTTAGAGCTAGAAGGCACTTTACACAATATTTGGTCCAAGGCTTCCCTTTCATGGTGAGGATATGGGGATCCACTGAAGTGGCAAGGGCAGGGCTGGAGTGAGAATCTAAACACTGTCTTCAAGATTCCAGCTTGTCTTTCCCCAGCCTGTCTGAGCTTAGAGAACAGATGCATCTGGTTGTGATCCTCAGCATTATGGGCAGCATGGTGAAAAACAAAACAAAGAGGGAAGGGATTCTCTATATTCCTTTCTCCCAGGTAAATTCACCCTGAAAAGAATTCAGTTATGGAACATTTACTTTTCTTTTTTTTTTTTTTTTGGAACATTTTCTGATATGTATATTTAAAGATAAGTCATACTCTGAAAGTTTGAAATCTTACCCTAAAATGAGGAGAAACTGGTCCATAGATACATTATGTTAAAATTTCAAGGCTTCTCCAGGTACCTGGGTAGCTCAGATGGTTAAGCCTCTGCCTTCAGCTCAGGTCATGATCTCCAGGTCCTGGGACTAAGCCCAGCATCAGGCTTCCAACTCAGTGGGGAGTCTGCTTCTCCTCCTTCCCTCTGCTTGCTGCTCTCTCTCTAACTCTCTCTCAAATGAATAAATTTTTTTAAAAATCTTAAAAGAAAATTTCCAATGATGAGGGCACCTGGCTGGCTCAGCGGGTAGAACATGTAACTCTTGATCTCAGGGTTTTAAGTTTGATCCCATGTTGGGTGTAGAGATTACTTAAAAATAAAAATCTTAAAAAAAATTTTTTTTAATGATACTAAGTTTCAATTTCAAATGATAAGTAAATTATAGCTTAATGATATGAAGATAAATAATTTACATAAGGTCAAATTTCCATAAACCTAGAGGGTTTGGGTAGCAGGTATGTGGGGAAAAGGACACACACTAAAATCTTCACTAACATTTTTTTTAAAAGTTGGTTTGTGGGCACATGGCTGGCTTAGTCTGTAGAGCATGCAATTCTTGATCTCAGGGTTGTTAAGCTCAAGCCCCAAGTTGAATGTAAAGATTACTTAAAAATAAAATTTAAAAAAAGAGTTGGTTTTATTTCATTGGATATTCTGGTATTCTCAGCATTAATCTGATCCCCCATGTTCCTGACCCTGAGACTGAAAATCTCTTAGAATTGTAAAAAGGGGAGAAAATGGATATTTTATTAAGCGATCACCACATTCTGTACACAGGTGATAGGGGCTTCACACAAATGCCCTGTTAAATATTATCGTTTTTATTTTGTAGGTGAGGAATCCCTCATTTGTCAGGTCAAGCCAGTTATCCTAGGTCCTACAGTGAGTTTGGTTTGGAAAACCGTGGCTCTTTCCTGGGGTCAGCACCATTCTTCACAGGTTAAGGACAGGGTTTGAAGGGACCTTTCCTTGTAGGTCCATTTCTGAAATAACCTGTATAGTTGTGTAAATGTTATACAGTTTAATGATTTTTTTTTTTTACCTCACATCACATGTTAACATTGTAGGTTTGTTTTTTTGTTTTTTTTTTTGTTTTTTTGGTCAGAGAAAGGGAGAGAGAGAAAGCACGAGCAGGGGGAGGGGCAAGCAGAGAGAGAAGCAGGCTCCCCGCCAGGCAAGAAACCTGAAACAGACTCAATTCCAGAACCCCGGGATCATGACCCCAGCCAAAGGTAGATGCTTAACCGACAAAGCCACCCGGGTGTCCCATAACACTGCAGATTTTTAAAACAATATTCCTGATATTAATTTGGGATTTGGGGTTAGGTACACTTCCTCCCACACAACAACAATAATTATAATAATGGAATGCTGGGATGGAAGGAGCTAGAGAATGGTAAGGATTCTGGTTATACTGAGTCTTGAGATTAGAGAATGACTAAGAAGGCTTTCACCCCAAAGCCTAGGCCTGTGCCTGGGGCACAGAGTAAGCAGCACCTAGCTCATTCTCACTTCACCTTTTGAAAAATGCTAACACACATCTGACTTATTGTCAGATGTTCAGTGTATCAGTACAGTAGAATTTAATAACCTGGGAGAAATGGAAAAGCATGCATGAGAATCAGCAGGCTGTCCTTGGCTAAATGTTTCTACCAAGACTGAATATACATGCTCATCCTCCTCATCAGTTGCTTCTTAAATGTAGGTATAACTTTGTAATAGTGGCTTTTTAACTCAAAGATTCTTGAGTAGTGGATTTTTCTTTTTCTTTGTTTTTATCCCAAATGACTAAATAATGCATGAATGTGTCTGTATTTTTTAGAAATGTAAATAAAAATCAAATATATTTTATATTTATTTATATATATGTGTAAATATTTAATATATATTACATATGCGTGTGTGTATACCAAAAATGTTCTCCTTCACCCCCATACCCCAATCCTATCCTCATAAATAACCACCTTGAACAGTCTGTATTC